TCCACTGACACGAACTAAAAGAGTTGGAAGTATCATCTTAAAAAGCTTCAAGAAGCTAACAAAATAGGGTTGTATTATTAGGCCAAAATTCAAGTGAAGACAAGACCCTAGAGAGGTAAGCCCAGCATTCAAACCTGCTTTACTCTGAGGGCATTTGTTGATCCATAAGAAACAAGTTTTGAAACTAAACTGTGCTTTGAGTGGACTTCAAAGGATTGACAGGATGAAAGTAAAAGCCTGGAGCCTACCAAAGGCAAAGACTCCAATAAACTCTCTCTTATTTCAGGGTAAGGGTGACATGGAAGTAACCCAGCCTTCACATAGATTTATACAGCTAGCATCATCTGGGTTGTTCATGAAACTTCAAGCCTTGAAGGTGGATTGCGGTGGTCCCAGATTGTTCTTGTTCCCAGGCTCATGGTTGAAGCAAAATAATGTGCTGTAGAGGAAAACTGATTTGTAGGCATCAAAGGAGTTCTACTAATACATTTTTCTAAATATGATGTCCAACACACAGCCAAAAATAACCAGGCACACAAGAAAACAGGACACAGCAAATGACCACTAACAGAAATAACAGGTAACAGACCCACAAATACCAAAGACATAGAAAGCATCAGATGAGGACCACAAAAGAATTATGTTTATTTTTCATGAGGAAATAAAAACCAAGCCAAAATATGTCATTGGAGAACTAGAAACTATGAAAAGTGGCAGAGCAGATTTGAATTTTAAAAAATTCTACACATTCAAAAATATAAAAATCAAGATATTAGACAAATATAGGGAACTATCTATTTCAGAGTCAGGGCGGATTATGGTACTACACTTCTTCCAGGTTGACAAATTTCTGCAGCAATAATTCTGGCTCTTAAAAGAGAATTTATATAATTATTTAAATTTTTCTAGCTATTTCTAATAGTTGGTGTATGAGTAAGGCCGCATGAGAGAAAACTGTCTATGTGCCGACATGGAATGCACTCTGTTAAGTAGCAATATCTTATCTGACTTTAGTTTGAATCTCTCTTTTTGTCTCTCAAAGAATGAATTATTTCTATTGACCGGAGTAGAAAGCCAAGTCAAAAAAATAAAACAGACAGCGATCTGTTCTGTGATTTAAAGCAGCGGCTGGCAAATGTTGAGCCTCCAGATACAGTCATTTTAAGGAGCAGTTCCATTATAGAAGACTGGAACATAGTCCTCATTAGCTTTTTGAGTCTATAAGGCAATTTATTTCAGAATATAGCAGGAGTAGATCCAGAAGAAAATTTAGAAAGAATAACAAAAAGTATATAAGGAAAGTCCAACAATATGTCTCTCCCTTTCTTACTTTTTAAAATAATAATAATCCAGGCTGGGTGCAGTGGCTCACACCTGTAATCCCAACACTTTGGGAAGTTTGGGTGAGAGGATTACCTGAGGCCAGGAGTTTGAGACCAGTATGAGCAATATAGCAAGACCCCATCTCTAAAATTAAAAAATAAATAAATAAATAAATAAATCAGCCTTCCACATGGTGGTACACACCCGTAGTCTTAACTACTCAGGAAGCTAAGGTGGGAAGATCACTTGAGCCCAAGAGTTTGAGTTTGCAGTGAGCTATAATCACACCACTGCACTCCAGCCAGGGCAATGCAGCCAGACCCTGTCTCCAAAAAATTTACTTTTTAATGTTTTCACTAAGGGAAGAATAAGCTCCGTCATCAGAGGACCCTGCACATTAACTCTGGCACATTGGTTTTTTCAGCCTTTGAGGGAAATAACTTCCCCATGACACAAAGCCCTGAATCAGCATCTAGGATGTAAATAATTATGAATTTTTTTTAAATGAGCTGTGTTTAGAATATAGTAGGCATTCAATAAATATTTAGTAATATTAATAATATATGTTCATACTAGCATGCTTTAATCTTTGAGGTAGATACAGTTGTCAAACTAAGGCTCAGAGAGGTTAAGCAACTTGCTGAAAATCACACAGGATGTATTGGAGCAATAATTCAAAACCAGCTTGGATACCGGCTAGCAATAGACAACAAACTTCCTTGTTGAATGAACTGAAGAAACTCCCAGGATTTCCCATACCTTTAACTCCCCTGTGAGGTGGGAAGAATCAGGCTTAGCTTGTTTTTGCCATTTAGCAGCCATTAGGCATATTTTTCTCCCTGTGCTTTCTCCTTTTAGGAGTCTTAAACATTCCAAGGGACACTACGGCAATACATTGCTCTTATGATTAACTGTTTGCTGGAACAACGGCCCGGGCCCTTTTTGTGTATTTCAGGCAATTCCTCAATAGTGTTCATACTTACTTTTTATGGTTTGCCATTTAAAAGATCTATTTGGAAGACTGAAAATAAAACTGCTTTTCCCACAGACTAGTTTCTATTTCCATCTGGCAAACTCACACTTCTTTCTCCTCATCTTTGGAATTCAGCTGAGGTCAATATGGCTTTGCTTTTGGCCTACTCTTTACTATCTTATCTTCATCCTTGCGCGCCAGGAAGGAGAATGAGCTCATGAAAACATGGCTGCCACAGGGAAGGATGACACAAAGACTCCTAAAGCTGATGACATTTGAGTCTGTGTCCCCATGCCACATACAACAGCACTTCCCCCCACAGGTCAGAGCTCCTAGTGACACTAGAGACTCCATTGCTGCTAACACTGGGCCTTGGGTGAAATCTGTTGTCCAGGATTTCACCAGCCTGTCCTTACCTGCCACTCAACTTCCTGAATGAGTTCCCCAAACCAACTTGCAACTCAAATGACTGAAATTCCCACAGACACCCAACACCAGCTCACCCTCTCTGGACACTCTTAGGACTTTTACTTCCCTTTGATATCCAGTTACCTCAAAGAATGAGTATTTATTTCTTTGTCTGCAAGAAATAACTCTGTGTCAAGTGTCAAAGCCAGGAATGAAATAAATTCTGAATTAATGATGGGAGTCAATATTTGTGATTACAAAGAGATCAGTAAGTCTGTTGGACACTGCATACAAAAAGAAAGAGTGCCATTGAGAAGGGCAAAGAGGCATCCCTGAGGCAGCCCTTGTGTTTTCAAAGGGAACAAAATTACAAGCAAAACACATTCATCCCAGGAAGCTCATCTTGTTTTGCCCACAAATTGTGTGTGCCTTTAGTTTCGAGTCTTCTATGCTCCCAGTTTCTCCTCTTAATGTACCTCTGGAAATTTGGTGTCTCTCATTAATATTCTTCTGATGATAGACTCCCAGTTTTACTTTGGTATCAAATAGTTTTGTCATGCAACTTGAGTCTCTGAGCCTCCAATCTGTCCTTTAGTTTTGTTTGTACTCTACCACATCTTGTTTGATCACTTACCCAGTAAGAAAATATCCGCACAGTGACAGCGGAAGGTTTTGTTCAGACTTTCCACCCAAGGCAATGGTTTGTTTGGTTAAGGGATAGCTCCTCTTCCAAACAGTATATCTACCACTACATTCTAAGACTTATTCCCTACTCTAAAATCTTCAGGTTGGAGTGTGGGCTGGAATCTGAGATGGAGTGGCATTCCTATTCTAAACCATATCCATAAATCTGCTCGTCCTGATCTCGCTGTACGTGTTTGTGTACATAATTCCATATGGATGCATACAGCAAATTAAAAACATTTATTTCAGCTGTTCTTTAAAAACACACAATATATTGCACCGCATTTCTCTTTCTTCCTATGAGTGTGTTTCTTTCAAATGGGTATTTAGATAACCAAAAATATTCTCCTGAGTTTTCCTGAGCAATGGTATGACACATAACCACTAAACCTCATATTAAGAAAAAGTTGGCTTAAATAAGAAATTGAAAAATCTGCCTGCAAATAATACTGTAAAAGTTTACAGTCCATCCTAACCATCAAGGATATTTTCCATAACTTTAGGGTTTGATAGTAAAATATATACACACACATATGTATGTTTCTAATAACAAAGCACTAAAGTAAAATAAACCTGCTTGTCCAAATACGGTTGCGTTTCAGTCAAAGTTTTGCTTAATGTTTTGAGAAGCGCTTTGATGAAAATAAATATTCTCAGCCTTAGATTTTATGTCAGATGCTCAGGGTGCCATCTACTGGCCGACTCTGGATTGGGACAGTTTTGTTTTCGGTAGGATTCAAACTCCATGTTGCCAATGATCCACAGCTTCAATGGTGGCCCAATTTTAAGATAATGTCATCTGTGTTGATTTCTTTTTTTTAATAGAAGGACATCCAGATTGTTGAGTTTTATTAGAATGAGAAGGCATCTCGTTCTTGAACAGCGATCTTTTTTTCTTTTTTCTTCCTTTCTTCCTTCCTTTTTTCTTTCTTCCTTTCTCTCTTTCTCTCTCTTTTTCTCATTCTCTTTCTTCTTTCTTTTTCTTTCTGACAGAGTCTCACTCTGTCCACCAGACTGGAGTGCAGTGGTGTGATCACGCCTCACCACAACCTCCACCTCCTGAGTTCAAGAGATTCTCCTGCCTCAGCCTCCCCAGTAGCTGGGATTACAGGCATGCGCCACCACATCCAGCTAATTTTTGTATTTTTAATAGGGACAGGGTTTTGCCATATTGGCTAGGCTGGTCTTAAACTCCTGACCTCAGGTGATCTGCCCGCCTCAGCCTCCCAAAGTGCTAGGACTACAGGCGTGAGCCACTGTGCCCCATTGAACGGCGATGTTTCTAATGACACGAGACCTGAGCTGCGTGCTGCCCTAGTCACATCAATTGCTGTGAAATTGCAACCAGATGCCTTGCTTTGTCTGGAACTGTTTGAGTATCAGGTTGAGGAGAAGGAGCAGGGCAGGCCAACTGTGTCTTCATGGAAATACCATCCTGGGAGCATAGAACATTCCCAGTAGATTGATGCGGATGAGAAACAAGAGAAGGTGTTTGGTGTTGGGGTCAAGACGGTCATCTCTCTGAAAAGAGCAATTAAGAGCCCTCCTTTCTGTCCTTCAGGAGCTGTGAGGTTATTGCAGGCTGCAGGAGTTGTGCACCTTCCCCAGAGACTTTTTGGCAATTCTCTCTTGAGGTCCCTTCCTGGAGAGCAGGTCCAATGCCTTCTGCCTTCATCACCTCCCATGCTCTTTTTATGGTATTTAGAAGCCAAGCTTGTGTCCCCCTTCTCTTTAATGTTTTCTGCGTCTCAGGTGCAAAAGGGCTCTTGTGGACATTCCACACAACACTAATGAATCCATTTATCATCCCGCCCAGGCCCCTGTGGAGCTACTCTGAGTTCAGAGCTCCCACGGGCTCTGAACTGAGCTCTGAACCAAGCATATTGATGATCTTAACAATTAGTCTCTCTCCCTGAGAAGTAAGAATAGAAACTTGGAAAAGACCTTAGTGTTTCCAAGAGCATACAGCATAAAGTCCCAGACCCCAAAGAGAATTTTGAAGGTAAGCCCACCTCAGCCACAGCAGGAGGGTTTCAGAACTGCCCCAGCTGTTGTGGAAGCTGGGGACTGAGCAGTCATGGCCCTGTTAAACAAGGGAGTCATCCACAAATCAGAAAGTGTCGTGTATGTCTCTGTGTGGAGACCACCTGATCATACTTCTAAAATCTCTTTTTCATTAAAAAAAATCTATGAAGAAATTATTTTCCAAGAATTAAATTAAATTCCAAACCTGAGGTGTATGTTGAGGCTAGAATCCAAGATTCAGAGGAGGATAGGGTCCCTCTTCAACCAAGTATCAAGCGAGCCCCTTTGAAATGCTGTGATTACCTGAGGTGGCTAAAAAGATTACGTAAAAAAGTTGGTAGAAATTGGGAATTAAAGATAGTTTCTTCACCCTTTACATCAAACACAGGTTTAATTGTATGTCCCTAAAAATATTCGCATGAGCCCAGCACAGCGGCATGCGCCTGTACTCCCAGATACTTGGGAGTCCGAGGCTGGAAGATCACATGAGCCCAGGATTTCAAGGTCAGATTGGGCAACATAGCAGGACCCCTATTCACATGACTTATGCAACAATATGAGAAGCATACTGATCATCTTAACAATTAGTCTCTCTCTCTGAGAAGTAAGAATAGAAACTTGGAAAAGACTTTAGTGTTTCCAAGAGCATACAGCATAAAGTCCTAGACCCCGAAGAGAATTTTACACAACACATTCTACAAGCACCAGTGATTTAAAAAATAAAGGTTGTTCATATTGTTTTATCTTAAAGGGCCAGTTCACTTCGATTGGCACAGAAAAGAGACCTAGAAAAAAATTATTGTGTCCTGAAAGATTTGATGATGATGAAGACATTGCTACAATTCAACTAATGTCTCACATGTCAGTAGGTAGACAGAGGATTCATTATCCAAAACAAGACAGTAGTTTTTTGTTTGTTTGTTGTTTGAGACAGAGTTTCAGTCTTGTTGCCCAAGCTGGAGTGCAATGGTGCCATCTTGGCTCACTGCAACCTCCACATCCAGGTTTCAAGCAATTCCCCTGCCTCAGCCTCCCAAGTAGCTAGGACTACAAGCATGTGTACCACGCCTGGCTAATTTTTATTTTTAGTAGTGATGGGATTTCTCTTTTTTGATCAGGCTGGTTTTGAATGCCTCACCTCAGGTGATCTGCCCACCTCAGCCTCCCAAGGTGCTGGGATTACAGGCGTGAGCCACCAGGCCCAGCCGATGGTGGTTTTTCTATTTAAGAAATCTGAACTAAGAAGACTTTCAGCAAATGATATGTCTTCAATAATGTAACCAAAAATAAAGGGATACAACACAGATTTGTGAAGCACAGAGAAAGAATACAAGCTAAAATACTGACATCTTCAGTTGTCTCCATTCAGGATCCAAATCCAGCTCATACAATTTACAACTCTTCGACTGGATAAAGTAACATAATAGAGGTGTGAGTTTTAGTATGGGACTTTTAAAGATCATCTTTAAAGTTTTCTAAATAAAGCTAATAATTTGAAAGTGCTCTGTTTACTATAAGAAGGAGCCCAGATGATTCTAGAAGAACACCAGAAACATGGCACACCCAGGAAAAAAAAAATTCCTCTATAGAGTTAGAACCTCAATCATATTTGCAGTGACAAGGATGAGCTTATCTGTGCTGCACAGAGAAACTAAGGCAATCTATTCAGTGCCTAAACTTCCTACTATTCCAAGCATCTATTGGTCTTTTTTGAAAGAAATATACCACGTGTTCTGAATTTCCTGTGAGTGATACCCTGTTATATTCCAAGGATCTGCTTGGATGTAAAGAGTACAGCAAAGGAAAAATAAGGCATGTTGAATTCAATTAAAGAAAGAAGAGTGAGGAAGGGAAAGAGAGAAGAAAATATCCAGAAAAGAGAGAGAAGGGGAAAGAAAGAAAGAATCAGAGACAAGAGGAGGTAAGGGGAAGAAGGCAAGAGAGAAAAAGTGGCACAGAAAGTTGAGGGAAGGAGGAAGGAAAAAAGGAAGGAAAAAGCATGAGGGAAAAAAAATCAAGAGAGAAAGAGGGAAATTTCGAGAGGAAAAAAATTTCAAAAGCCAAAGGGCAGGTCAGAAGAGGAAGATTCCTAGAGAGGTTGAGGAACTGAAATAATAAAATAGTTACCCAGTCATTTAGAAACTCAGCAGGTCAGACCTGGAAGAAATATTACAGGGCATCTTGTCCAGCCCTTCTGAGTACAGATTCATAAATAGAGGCCCAGGGAGGTTAAATAACAAAATGGAAGCCATATAGATAAATACTGCTTTTGAAAAAAATTCACAGTAACAAAAGAAAGAGGTGCTTTAAAGGCAGGTTTTTTGAAAGTTAAATGCCTGAGCAGCACCTCCATACCTTGCACTGATGTTGCATATTAGTCTGAGAGCTGGGAATGGACGCAGGTTATCAGGAAGTGGTCCATATCCAGAAAGACTTGAGAAGCAATCATTATTCAGCATTGTCTGTGCCATTACTTGGCTTGAAATCAATTCCCAGTGCAACCAACAGCTCCATAATCAAATAGAAGTACAAAAACAAAAGAGCAATAATAACAAAAATCGAACCCCTCTGGTATTTAGAAAAGAATAAGAGCTTAAACTGCAGGGTCAGGCTGCCTCTGTGTGAAACCTCCCTGAATCATGTCTGGGTGACCTTGCAAAAGCATTTGCTTTACCTCAGTTTCCTAGTCCGTGAATTGAGACAATAATATCAGGTTGATGCAAAAGCAATTGCAGTTTTGCATTACTTTTCATGGCAAAAACCGCATTACTTTTGCAGCAACTGGTATTTGGCACCCAATATTGTTGTGAGGATTAAATAACCTGTGTAGTGTGGGGTTTTTTAGACTTTTATTTTACGTTTGGGGGTACATGTGAAGGTTCATTACATAAACACGTGTCACATGGGTTTGTCATGCAGATTATTTCATCACCCAGGTATTAAGGCCAGTATCCAATAGCTATCTTTTCTGCTCCTCTCCCTCCTCCCATCCTCCCACCACAAGTGGACTCGAGTGTCTGTTGTTTCCTTCGTTGTGCTCATAGGTTCTCATCTTTTTTTTTTTTTTCGAGATGGAGTCTTGCTCTGTTGCCCAGGCTGGAGTGCAGTGTCAGGATCTCAGCTCACTGCAACCTCTGCCTTCCAGGCTCAAGCAATTCTCCTGCCTCAAGCCTCCTGAGTAGCTGGGATTACAGGCACCTGCCACCACACCAGCCACCACACCCGGCTAATTTTTATATTTTTAGTAGAGACAGGGTTTCACTATGTTGGCCAGGCTGGTCTTGAACTCCTGGCCTCAGGTGACCCGTCCACCTTGGCCTCCTGAGTGCTGGTATTACAGGCGTGAGCCACCACGCCAGACCAAGTTCTTATCATTTAGCTCCCATGTAGGGTGTTAAGCACAGTGCCTGGCTCCCCAGACACAACTAGTTCCTGATGCTTGTGGCTGGGCATGGTGGCTCATGCCTGTAATCCCAGCATTTTGGGAGGCTCAAGGTGAGAGGATCAGCTGAGGCAGGAGTTCGAGACCAGTCAGGGCAACATAGTGAGACCTCATCTCTACAAAAAAAATTAGGCAGAACGATTGCTTGACCCCAGGAGGTAGAGGCTGCAGTGAACTGCGATTGTGCCACTGTACTCCACCCTTTGTGACAGAGCAAGATCCTGCCTAAACACACACACACACGTACACACACACACACACACACACAAGGTGAGTCAAGGCAAATGCAGTGGTTCATGCCTGTAATCCCAGCAATTTGGGAGGCCAAGTCAGGCAGATCATTTAAGGTCTGGAGTTCGAGACCAGCCTGGCCAACATGGTGAAACCCTGTCTCTACTAAAAATGTAAAAATTAACCAGGCATGGTGGCACACGCCTGTAGTCCCAGCTACTCAGCAGGCTGAGGCATGAGAATTGCTTGAACCCAGTAGATGGAGGTTGCAGTGAGCCAAGATTGGGCCACTGCAGTCCAGCCTGGGAGACAGAATGAGACCCTGTCTCAAAAAAAAAAAAAAAATTAAAAAGTTTTAAAAAGATGAGAAAAAAATTTTTAAAAACCACACACACAGAAGGGAGAAAAATAGTCAACATGTACCATGGCTTGAGAAAAAAAAAGTTTCTGATTTCTTGTTGGGTTATTTGAGCCTCAGTACTTCCCCAGCTGTGTTTAAAGCACTGAACTTACTATGTCATTTTTGTAAAATGTTTGGTTATGAAATGTCTTTGACACTTGCTATGAATGAGTAAGATGGGGTAGTATCAGGCTGGCATCAAGACACTTGAACCTCTCTCTGAGACAGCCAGTCAGTGGGGTTTTCCCAGCACAATTTCCCTATTTTTGAGACTAGTCACCAGTCCTAGTTATGAAGAATAAAGTTATTTTGGTGTTTGGACCTGCTTGGCTGCAGACCTGCTGAATGCTATTTGTTTGAAATGAAAACAGAAAGTTTCAACAAAGGCAGGGGTTATTAACTTACAAACATTCATGTTGATCTGTTGCTTCTACTATTAAAATAGCCTTCTACCCATTTCAGCTGAGGTGCTGATTTCTCCGTGACCGCTTCCCTGGCTTTCATGTCACTTCTGAGTGCTCTTTTATTACAGGAAGTGAAGTAAATCAGTGGGGAGGCTGATTAGAATCCCCGTTAGAGGCAAGTGGATAAAAATGAGATTAGGGAATGTGAGTGCATCTCTAAATCACTGCACTTGACCAAACAAATTACTTTTAAGTATGCCTTCTCTTCAACCCAGAGCAGTGTTAGTGATCCAGAAAAAATGATTCAAACTCAGAGAGATAAGCAATAGGCATTGGCTTTTCACATTCACGTACACATGTACACACACACTCACACATGCACATAAGTACATGCGTCATTTTCTTCAGGTGAGGTGCTATTTTGCCTCTGTAAAACTTCTCCAGATATCTTAAGTCTGCTTGTCAATAACATTAATTCCTATTTATGGTGTGCTTTCTAAAGGCCAGGCACTGGGCTAGGAGTGTTACACATGTAATTTCATTTAATCTTCACAACAAGTCAGTGACATGCATATTGTTGCTTTTTTATAGATGATGAAACCGAAGCTCAGAAAATAAAAATATTAATCATAATAGTTACATTTTTTGAGTACTTATATGTACTAAGTGGTTTTACATATGCTACTTCATTTAATCTTTTTAACAATTCTGTGAGATAGATTTGTGTCCCTGTTTTAGAGGTAAGGAAAGTATGGCTCATAATTATTAATAGTTTGCAATAGCTGCCACTTATTGCATACTAATTGTATGCCAGGCACTGTGTCATGTCTTTTAAACATAGCACAGTCTTTTGTAACTCTTACAACTTACTAGGATAAATCTCATACTCTTCACTTTAAAAATAAGTAAATGAGGGCACAGCAAGCCAGACAACTTGCCCAGCATCACTCAACTAAGACAAAACAGAGCCAGGATTTGAATCAAGAACTGGTGATTTCAAAGCCTGAGCAACCTATGCCAGATACTATACCTACTTCATTGCTTTTCTAATTGTGCATTTATTTTTTCTTTATTTATAGGAATCTAAATGGTATAATGAAAGAACATCCAGCTCTAGAAGACATGGATTCAAAACCAGTTTAGACGGGATCCTGCTGTTCAGATGTGGAACAATTTGAACATGAAAATAAGTAATGACAGTGGTAGATTACAACCCATTTGATAAATAGGAATTCATGAATCCACACTGAAATGAATGAATAGATGAATGAACAAACAAGTGAATAAAGCAGAAGAGAAAGCTCTTCTTTAAAGTAGAAACCATGTCAAAGATACAGCAAGAATGATCGAATTAGAAAGCTACCATTTGGCAACCTCTAAGTTATATTTAACTCTGGCAGGAAACATCAATGAACGCAAAACCGTTTCAGTTGGTGAAATGTGAAGTGAGGAATGAGATTTTGTATAACCTTAAAGTATCTTCCTACAAAATATTTATTAGTAACAAGGGGGAAAATAACTTTACAGCAGAGAAACCAGAAAGACACCCCAATCTTAATTAAGAGGTGAAAGTTAACACCACCAGTAAGAGGGGGTAAAAATCACATATCTGTCAATAAGATGCATTGAAAAGAACCCAGCATGCATGATATCTTGTCAAAAAAATATATACCAGGGTCTCATGATGAGAAAACATCAGAAAAACACAAATCAAGAGACATTCTACAAAATGACAGATGTATTATCTTCAAAAATGTCAAAGTCATGAAAAGATTGAGGATCTGCTCCAGAATAAAGGGTGTGGAGACATAATTGAGTGCAACTGGTGTCCCTGGATTGGATTCTTTGCTGGAAAAATCTGAAAAGTTTGAATGAGTTCTCTGAGCAAAAAATGTAGAGTTCTTTGTACCATTCTTGCAACTTTTTATTAAATTTGGAAGTTGTAAAATTTTTTTTAATTGTTTCTTTTTTTTTTTTTTTTTTTTGCAAATCCACCACTTTCTTTGTGATCTTGAGCAAGTCATTGGACTTCTTTGAGTTTGTTTTGCTCTGTGAAAATAGGAAAATAAGTCAGTAGTTTTGTTGAAATGATGAAAATGAGACAGTATACACCAAAACACTTAGCATTTATTAGATGACTAACAAATACTAGTTTCCTTTTTCTTTTCAACCTGCTTGTCTAATACTTTGAACTTGATCTGTGGGTATCAGGAGGAATAGCCTGACATGTTTTGTTTTACAAAGTGAACAAATATCAGTGTTAGAAACATTCCAGAAACTTCACTCTCACTGCTTTATTTTGAGTGACCTTTTAATCTGCTTGGGAATTATTTCATAGGGTAGTGTTTTCCAAAATCAGTGTCAACAGATGTATTCTTAGAGGTCCAGAGAGCTCTCTGGAGTTATTTTTGTGTGTTCTCCTTTAAATGATAATAAAAATTAATATACTCTTATTAGCATCATCAGATTTGAGTGATTTCAGTGTCCATATTTGTAATGTTTTTGAAATTTTCAGAGCTCACATTTACAGTTGCCTAAAAACAAAATAGTTCTACTTTTATTATCATGAGTGAATGAGAAAAAGTAGACTCTCTAAGTAATTGTGTATTTGCACCAAGTGAAGGCCATTGCTAACAAATATAGCACCTCTGCATGACTACAAAAAAGATATACCTTACTTCTGCCTTTCAAACAAACTGTCTTGCTATAGACAATAAAGATAATAAAGTAGTAAGTTACATGTTGCTTAAAGGTGATACACGTTATGAAAAGAGAAAAGGCAGAGCAGGTTAAGGAGAATCAGGAGTGCTAGATCAGGGTTGGGGAGGGCGTCAGCTTGCAGTATTAAATATACTGGCCAGAGTTGGTCCAATTAGGAAGGCAACATTTGAGCAAAGACTATTAGCAGGTGAGAGAGAGATCTGGGGAAAGATATCTGAGAGCAGCAGATACCGAGAGGACAAGCATTTGAGAAAGAGAAAGCTATGTCGCTAAAGCAAGAGTATGACTAGTGTGTTTAAGGAACAGCAAGGAGTCCAGAATGGCTGAAGCAGAGTATGTGAAGAAGAGAACAGGAGGAGATGATTGTCAGACAAATAAAGTGGAGAAAAATACTAGGGTATTGTAAGGATTTGGGCTTTTAGTTTAGCTGGAATGGAGTTTTGAGCAGAAGAATAACTGGATATAAATTACATTTCGAAAGGATCATTCTGAGTACACTATAGGTGGGCAACGTAGGAGCAAGGAGGCCTATTTGGAAGCTACCTTAGTAGTCCAGATGAGAGATGACCATGGCGTAGACAAAGCTGATAATTAGTGAGGATGCCAAGATTCTGATTCAATTCTGAAAGTAGAACCAATCACATTTGCCCAGAAATTGAATAAAGGTGAAAGGGAAAGAGAAGATTCAATGATGACGCCAAGGATGTTTCCCTAAATGACTGGAAGATGGATTTTCCACTTTCACTGAGAGAAGGCTATAGGTAGAGCAATTTTGGAAGGGACACACCTGAGTTGGAGACATCTGTTAGACATTCAAGAGCACGGTGCATCTAGAGCTCAGGAGAGCTGGCCAGAGATGGAACTGTGGGTGTCCTCAGTATTTACAGCCATGACAATAGTCAATGGAGAGGAATGCAAAGGAATGAGTCGTGGGACTCTCCAATGGTGAGAGGAGAGGAGAAGGGGCCACAAAAGAAATTGAGAGGGAACCTCCAGTAAGGCAGACAGAAAACCATGAGTGAGGTGTCTTGGAATCCAGATGAAGAGTAGCATTGTAAGTCCAGCTCTCCTCAGGAAATCAAGACCATCCTGACCAACATGGTGAAACCCTGTCTCTACTAAAATATAAAAAAATAGCTGGGTATGGTGGCGGGCACCTGTAATCCCAGCTACTCGGGAGGCTGAGGCAGGGGAATTGCTTAAATCCAGGAGGCGGAGGTTGCAGTGAGCCGAGATTACACCACTGAACTCCAGCCTGGTGACAGAGTGAGACTCCATCTCAAAACAAACAAATAAACAAAAAACAAATAAGTCCAACTCTCCACTGGTATAGTTCAAATGTGTCCCTTCCAGTGGAATTAGGTGCCCTTATAAAGGGGCTTGACAGAGGGAGTTCATTCCCTCTTGCACTTTCACCTTCTGCCACGTGAAGACACATTGCTCTTACCCTCTAGATAATGCAGCCCTCATCAGTTACCAGATGCCAGTGCCTTGATTTTGGCCTCCCAGCCTCCAGAAGTATGAGAAATAAATTTCTAGTATTTATAAATCACCCAGTCTCTACAAATCACCTAGGTATTTCTTTATAGCAGCACAAATGGACTAAGACATTCATTAACCTGTAATAAGACTATACATCCATGCCACTTGCCATGCAGCTTCACAGCGCCCTCCCACTGTGGACCAAGGTACTTTCCCACCCCCACACTGGGCTTGGCATGTGACTTGCTTTGGCAAGTATGAATCCAACAGAGGCTCGAAGTGGACTTGCCTAGTTTCTTTTATGTCTTGCATTCCTGGCATTTTCCTTGAAAAGGACATGTGCTGGCTAGTTGCTGACTGAGGGAAAATGAAAGACTCATGGGGCATACCTGAACCCAAGCTATAGTCTAAGCCTATCTGCATCTAACCAGCAGACCTGTGAGCATAAGAAAGCAATGCTTATTTTTATAAGCCACTGAGTTTGGGCTGATTGTTATAATAATAATAAGCTTGCTGGCTTATTATTATAAGCCACTGGGCTCCTTATGCATCATTTCAGTAATAGCTAATTGTTATAACAATATGAGTCCCCAGAAACACTTATACCACCTAAAGAAAAGGAGAGCCTCCCTACCTTGATCAGAACTGACTTCACTTGCACCTACATGATGTGGCAAAAATTTGTTCCTGCTGATGAATGCGTGTGTGTGTGTGTGTGTGTGTGTGTGTGTGTGTGTGTGTGTGTGAATATTTCTCAGTCCACGCTCACGGTCATGCTTTAGAACCACTGGATTAGATGACATCTAAGGTTTCTTCCAAATCTAAAATTTCATGATTCTATATCATCCAGCTCATGCCATTTGTTCACTGCTTTACCTGTATCTCCTCCATTCTGGCAGCTTCTGCTTCAAGTTAAATGGAGGTCATTGTCTGTCCCCTCTGCTTTAGTGTCATTATTTCTGAGGTCCTTTGCAACTAGAAAATGCAAGATGCCTCCACCCATCCAGTGGTTTATATCACAGCCTTAAGATAAGGAGAGAAGAGATGAGTACAGAGATGGAGTGCATGTGGTGTGAGTAATCCTATGGTGTGGGGAGGAGCAGTAGGAACAGTTGGTGTTGGAGGATACCAGCCTTGATCCTAGACTTCCAAATCAAATCGCTGCTTGCGATACATTAAGTCAGCTCTTGGAAATAAGGCAAATAGATTTGCCATTTGAATAGAAAGCACATAACAGAGGAAGAAATGTAACTATGTGGATTATTGGAAAGTCTCATCATGAATGTCTTATCTTAGAAATCCCTAGACAGGGCCTATCCTTAAATACAGGTGGATATTGGGAGAATAACTGCTATGCGCTCTTTCTCTCTCTCTCTCTCTCTCACACACACACACACACACACGTCCTATAACTTCTCGGAAGCATACAAAGTTAAAGGGCTATAAATTCCACCTTTTAAGGAACTCGAGTCCCTTTTTTAAAAAACAAATTTTAGAGACAGAGCCTCTCTGTCTCCCAGACTAAGGTGCAGTGATGTGATAGTAGCTCACTATAGCATCAAACTCCTTGGCTCAAGTGATCTTCCAACCTCATCCTCTTGAGTAGCTGGTAGTAAAGGTGTGCACTACCACACCTGGCTAGTTTTTTAAAAAATGTTTGTAGAGAACCTTATCCCTGAATTGAGTTACAATTCATAAGGTGTCAACATAGAAAGTAGACCAGCATTTACATTAGCCATGAAAAAAATTCTAACTAAAGAGCTTAAAGTTTACTGGATTAAAAAGGAATTTCCTTCTTTTGCTATAGAGAGTATAAAATTGCTTCTTTTGCGATTTCCTTCTCCATCTCTCCTGGAAGGCTGATCTACTCCTACTTTATTCTTACTGATCCAAATCATCCTCCTCCAAAGAAGCTGGGTTGAGGTTTAGGCAGACCACAGACTGTTTTATTGTCTCACTACTATAAAAGAGTGATAAGGATCCAATAAGCACTGCTAACTTTTTTTGAACATCTTGAGACCGTGGTCTCTTTCACTGCTAGCCTTTAACTCTAGTTCAAGTGGTGAGAATGTATGTGTGTGCACATGCAAATGCATATGTTAGAAATGCGAATACATTTTTAAATCACACACTAAATGTTTCAAAAGCATGCACGAAATTAAGTCACTCTGGGAAGCCATATGCTTATTCTAGTTTTGAGGCATTCATTCATCAGCAAGGTTTTGAAGGCTGGCTACACTGAGTGGAATACGGTCATTTAACAATGTAATCTTTGTAAGGTTCATCAATCTCATTTAAATAAATATATCAGTAAAATAGATCAATTTCAGTTAAATAAAATTATGGAACATACATATAATGGAAAGTATTTCCAACTCTGAAGCTCTTAAAAAGAATTATTTAGCCCACCTCCAAGATATGCTGTTAAGCGAAAAAAAACAGACACTACAGTATATTTAGTGAGCTACCATTTATGTAAGGAAAAAAAGGATATATATGTATATGCTTATATTATAAAACCCCAAAATGTTCCTGAAAGACTACACAGGAAACTATAACTATGGTTGCCTGCAGGAGGGTGGCCCCAGACAAGACATGAAACCAGAGAAATGTATTTGCCACTGTGTATTTGAATTTGTCATGCACGTATACATTTTGCCTATTCAACAACAACAAAAAAAAACCAAAATAATAAAAAAAGAAGTCACCCTTAGTCCCATCTTTGGTAGTTATGCAGTAAAGTACTCTACCACATAACTACTAAAGACAGAAATAAAGCTGGGCTTTGGGATGGGACAGGTGAAGATTTGGACCCAGGACAGGCTTGGTGGCTCACACCTGTAATCCCAGCACTTTGGGGGGCCAAGGCAGGAGGATCACTTGAGCTCAGGAGGTTGAGACAAGCCTGGGCAACACAGTGAGACATCCATCTCTATTTCTATTAAAAATAAAATAAAATAAATAAATAAGTAAAATATTTGAATTCACATGTTAACTGGGAGACTTCCTGGAGATGATTTACCTTCTCTGACTATTCATCTCCTTCTTTGTAAAATGAGGAAAATGATAACCACCCAAAAGGATTGCCTCCAGGATTAAGAAAAACAATGAATGGAAAGACCCACTAGGCACTCAGAAAACTTTAGTCCTTTTTCTTCCCTACAGGTAGGAAGAGTCCTGGTTTGGTTATATGATGTCCTTAGTAAAGAGTTAACTGATTGCAGCCTGTTTACAATCAAAGTTTGTAAACAAATCTTCGATAAGAAGTGTCTCCCTGTATCACAGGGACAGATCCTGGGAGCAGACCTCAGTGCCTCAAAACCAAGATCCTGGCTGAGGCATTGCCTTCAGAGGAATGTGGGCGTGAAGAAAAGAAGGAAAGAAAGGAAAAAGCAAACTTTTCTCTTTTTCTCAGTACATGAAATTTTACCATTAACGTTCTCCTCTTTTATATCTTGGTGGCTGGTAAATCCCTAGCAGCCCTAATATAGATGATATTTAAACCTCATCTGCTAACACTTTGCAGGGAATTAGTTTAAGCAATTAAAATCTTCCCTTTCCTCAAACACCGCCACCCGTAAAACAGAGAACCATGAAAGGGAAGGCCAACCAGCCTCTAGTCTAGTCCAAACTGTAACCTGATGTGATTTTAGAAGTCACTCCTTCCTCAAGACCCTTTACTGCCATCTGCCGAAAAACTTTAGGTATTAACATATAGATTGTTCCATGACTACAAGACAATGATCTGGGATTGTGCGACACACAGCCTGCAGAACTGTGAGCAACGCCCCAAAACAAGCTTCACAGTTTTACCAAGGGCTGGCACTACTGCAGCACAGCCACCCTTGATAGGTTGCTATCCCTTCAGGCATGAGTCCCACATGAATTCTTTATGCCAGGACTTTCCATGGTAACTCTTGCCCATCCATGGTGCTAAATGACTATTGCTCCCTTTCCCCAGACCCTCTAGAATGGAATAGCTGCAGGGCCCCTTCAGACTATTTCAAAGACCCCTTTAGGTGTCCATGACCTCCCCAGGTGAAAAAGTTTTTAAGGAGTGTGAATTCATTTTTCCATCATTGCTCGAGGCAGCACCATAAATTGTGATAGTCAGTGGGGGCCTAATGGAATGCAGCATCGCACGCGAGTCCCATGGATGGGAAACAGATCTGATTAAGTGCCATCAAAACAACACAACTGGCCATTGGAAACTCTGCTGAGGTCTCAGGTGCTAAGGAGCAAGAGAGAAGAGGAGAGAGAAGTCCTATGGGGCTCATGCAGCCAGCCAGCCCCTCATCTCAAAGACAGAAATGAGGTTTGGCTTCATTCTTTTCTGTCCACTGATTGCTTTATTTCAAATTACCCTAACTACTTAGCATGGCAAATTAAGTTGAAACCCCCAAAAGTTTGCAGAGAATGTCATCTAATCTGATTAAAAGGAATAGTCCCCATCACAAGCTAGGGAGGAAATGGAAATTACTCTGAGTGCACTGCTATTAAATAATTTGCATAGACTTGCATATGGTATACATCAGAAAAGCATATGCTCTTTAGATTTAATGAAATAATTTTCCCTCTCTAAAGACTCTTACAGTCTCTGTCCTTCCCTATCTGTCTTTTCCTCTTCCCAGCTGTCTCTTTTTGAATGTTAAAATTATTTCATGGGGAGGGTACATAGCAATGCACAAATTATATGAAATATGTTAATAATCTTCCCGCTGGCAGGGCTGGGAGGCCCTGAAACTGCATTGCCAAACTTCCCAAATGTCCCCCTTGTCAATCTCACATAATTAAAGGCTCCCTTTACAGCCTTAAAAGGTTCAGCTTGATTCATGTGGGGCTTCCATTGATGGGGGAAGGGTGGTTAAGACCAATTCTTCGGCTCTACTTTCCCAAATAATGTCTTCCTAACTACGGAATAACATCTAAATCAAAATAAATATGAAAGGGAAAATTGCCATCAGGGCCATGTCATCTACATTGGTTGAGTCTGTGACACTGCCATTGTGGTTGCGCACATACAATAATCAACCTTGAAAAAGTTTTGTGCCTGCTCCGCTTTTCAGGATTCAAAACCCTAGACAAATGCTAGCTGCTGTTAGAGCATCGCCCCCATTCTATCAATGGAAACAAGAAAGCCCAGATAGGTGAATATGATGGGCTAGCAGCTAGTGGCTAGTGGCCGGGGAAGGGAAGAGGAGGGGAGATGAAATCTATTTTTGTATTCTCTATGGATAGTCACTAGTTTTTTAGTAATATTTTAGCAGATCTCATGTTCAGTTGTAATGTAGCCAACAGAGGAATTCTAGTGAATTCCCCAACAAAATTACATTAGGATCAAATGTGATCGTTATAAACACTATCCAGATGTTGGGGATGGACTGGATATAACTCTTTAAGCCCCAAATTACAGTATAATAAATGCAAGCATGGGGATCTGCCAATACATCTGAACTTCGTGTCGGAAACCAGGTCTGACCTTAATTTAACTCTGTAAGGACCTAAGAGTTTCCCCACTTGTATAGTTAGGATGCATCCAAACATCTCCAAGTTGCTATATTGTCATGGGTTTTATCACTTACTTGAAGCATGACCATATCAGATTCTGGAGTCAAGCCAATCTTAATACAAGCATTTTATTAACACATTTAGAAAGGAAACAGAATCACAACTAGAAATAACTATTGAGGTTATGAAACAAACCTGTGAAATGAAATACAATATAATATTAAGATCACATTTGTCCTTGGTAAATCACAGGGAGTTAAGATACTATAATAAGCACACACTAAAATATTATACTATGTAAACCAGCAACAAAAAATTTCATCTTCTGCCCCTGAAATTTTTTCAGTATGCAGAAAGGTTTTAAGGAGTTCCAAATACATATCAAGTCCTTTAAAAAAATATATGTTCTTTATCTGATTTTAATGTTGGATGTACCAAACCACAGAATGGTCTTTTCCTCGGAGAAACTTAAAATATAGTGGCAAAGGTATGAAATATACCACCCCCCAAAATTCAGAAGTTAAATCATCAAACAAAATAGATGTCATGGCCGGGTGCAGTGGCTCACCCCTGTAATCCCACTTTGGGAGGCCAAGGCAGGTGAATCACCTGAAGTCAGGAGTTGGAGACCAGCCTGGCCAACATGGAGAAATCCCATCTCTACTAAACATGCAAAAAAAAAAAAAAATTAGCCAGGTGTGGTGGCACATGACTGTAGTCCCAGCCACTCAGGAGGCTGAGGCAGGAGAATTGCTTGAACCCGGGTGGCGGAGGTTACAGTGAGCCGAGATCGCGCCACTGCACTCCTGGGTGACAGCAAGGCTCCATCTCAAATAAATAAATAAATTAAATAATAGATGTCATAAGTCAGCAGAACTAAAGCATTGAGGGTCTTTGTGCATCTCCTACCACCAACTTTCCAAATGAAAAAAGCTATTTGTATCCATTGAAAAATACTGAAAACATATGAAAGCTGCTACCAAAAATGTGAATGCTACATCATGATTATAATTGTTTACCAATAATATTTTTTAAATCATTCTTTTTTTTTTACAGATAGTAAAAATTTATCATTATCACATTCATATAGCCTGTGAATCTCCTTTTGCTGCTTCTTGCTCCCAGCCCCTTATATTTTTGTCACTTGCTATATGACATTGAGGTAGACCCAACAAAAAGAGTTTTTAGAAGGTAATATTGTCTCAGAATGGGGAACTTGAGTGAGCCGGTGCTGTGGGCCTCAAAACTGTCTCAGAGGAATAATCCAAGTGTCCATTGACAGATAACCTGATAAACAAAACGTGGTATATACATACAATGAGATATTCCTTAGCCTTAAAAAGGAATGAAGTACTGGTGCATGCTACAACATGGAAAATAGAAAACCTTGAAAACATGATGCTGAGTGAAAGAAGCCAGACACACAAGGACAAATATTCCATGATTCCCTTAATATAGGTATCCAGAGTAGTCAAATTCAGAGACAGCAAGCAGAATAGTGGAGATCAGGGGTGGAGGGAGGGAGAATGGGAGATTATTGTTTAATGGGTACAGAGTTTCTGTTGGAAATGATAAAAAAAATTCTGGAAACAGTAGTGACAGTGGTGATTATTGCACCATGCTGTGAATGTACTTAATGCCACTGAATTGCACACTTGGAAATCATTAAAAACATAAATTTTTATGTTTGCATATTTTACCACAATAAAATATCTACTGTTTTCTCTCAGGAAAAAGCAGCAGAAGCCAAGATGCCCTGGCATTGACAGCCCTGGAGTGTGCAAGGAAAAGAGATTACAGACTGTGGGTGGCGCGGGTTACCTAAGGCAGTTCCTCCCAGGGCCATTCAGTATGTGTCAAACAAAAGGGGCTGAAGATAACTGAGAATTTAGAAGTGTCTGAGCCATCTAAAGGCAATAATCCAATTTAAAAAACAAAGCAGAACATTCTACAAAGTCTTTCCAGGGGAAGGGTACCAATTTGTCACTCCTAGTATTAGACATCAATACAATGGTAGACCTACAGCAGATATTTATTATGGGCTTTCTATTTCTAAGCATATCTTACCAGAAGATGGAGGTAGAATGTGGGGAGAGAAGGAAAGAGATAAAAAGAAACCAACAGCACAACCACCAGCACTATTTATAGTAAGATTACTGTGTGCAAAGCCCTGGAAGTGTTCTACACGCGTTTTCTTATTTATTCCTTACAACTACTACCCATTCATTATCCCATATTACAGATGCAGAAACAGAGGCAGAGTGCACAAGTCTCTCACAGCTGGATAAGCGGAGAAGCCAGCCCACTGTCTGGCTAGAGATCACTCTAGACTGTAGCCTAGTATCCCTATCCTCAAGGCATAAAAGAGGGGTGAACCAATGATGCTCAAACGAGACACTTTTTTCAAACACACAT